ACATTAAGAAGCAGGGCTGGGGAAGATCAGTGATTTGCCCGAAGTCCCACAGTAACAAGTAGCCACTCCAGGATACTTCTCCTGCCGTGGGAAACCCACATTCCCTTCCTGTACCACAAGCCCGGGCTGCACCAGGTCCCAGCGGTCACCCCACTGCCCTGCCTGCTAGAGCCTGGGAGGGCTCCTCCCCCCACCAGGTCACCCCCTCCACAACACAGAGGGGCTCACCCGGCTGTTCTAGCTTCTAGAAAACGGAAGAGGCTGCCCTCTGAGGGCATGTACTGCTGGTGCTTTAAGTTTTCCCACCTGAGAAGAATATTTTTCATCACAGAAAACCTTCTGGTTGTTCCATTTGCATCTTGCTTAATGATGCTAACAATATGACTATTTAGCAAGCTACAGTGCAGGAGCAAACCCAGCACTCCATTTCCCTAATGAGAAGATGGGTCACTCCCACATGAAGGCTCTTCTGTCTTGCCCAAAGTCAATGCCAAAGACTGTAATGCTAATATCTGGAGGGGAAAAATCTCTCCTCTTACTGAGCCTCCCAAGCTCTCCATGAAGAAGGCTGGCCCTCGGTTTGTCCTCACACAGGATCACCAGGAGGTTTGGAAGCACCCGCCCACCGCAGCTCCGTCCCACCAAGTCAGAGACTAGTCCCAACAGTCCTTGCACATCCAGACCCCAGCCACCACTCTAGAACTCACATTCGGGCAGGGCCTCCCCGTCTCCCCCAGTCCTGGCCCTGGGTGGGGAGACCCTAAGTGCTGATGAGCTCACAGGATGGACACGGAGCCACCAAGTCATGACAGAGAGAAGTGACGGGGGCGGTGCTGGAAACCCCTTCCCGCCCCACCTGTTCCCAATGCCTCGCCCGCCTCCACGCTGCAGCCGCCGGCCAGGCAATGCTGAGAGCTGTACCAGATGTTAAAAACAAATGGCAGAACTTACTCAAAATTAGCTCTGACATGGTGGCGTGGGTCGGTGGGGCACAGGCAGACCTTTCACTCCAAGAGAAGAAAAGCCCCGGACGACCAGGGTCGGTGCTCTACCCGCAGCCCACTGTCTCCTGAGCCTGTAGCTTTGTTCACAGCCCACCCCCGGGGGACCGAGCATAATCAAATAAACTGACGCAACCTTTCCTGAAGGGAGACGGAGACACGAACTTCTGATTATTCCCAGGAAAACACCAGCCACAAGCTGGGAGCGGGCTTCCAAGGGGAAGCATTCCTGCTGGGAATGCCCAGAATAACACAAGTCTCTGAACCATATTCACTTCCAGTGCAGCGTGACAGCCTGGGTCTTTCCTCCCAGGACCCGGGCGTGGAGCCCTCGGCCGCGGAGATCAGATGTTGGCTTCGGGGAAGGACGGCACTGCTGCAGCGATAATGGGTCTAATGGGACCAGTTTCTCTTACGGACGTAAAACTCTGGTCACTTGAGAATCATTAGTATAGTCTGACAGCACCAAAAATAACAGAACCCACTCTGTCCAACCACTGTTTTCCTCACTCACAAGTTAGCACCAGGCTCAGACATATCCACAGCCGTGCACGGATTTCCTGGTGTTCCAGACGGAAGCAGGTCCAAGTTCTGCAGGGTTGAGTAAGGTCGAGTCTCCCCTCCTCTCTTGGCCGGCTCACCCCACCCCCCGCCCCCGTGCCCCCTGCAGGAACAAAGGGATGGACTGCAGTGCTTTCTCAGGGTCCCTGCCAGCTGGGCACCTGGCACTACCATGACCACAGCCAGTTTCTCCCCCTAGAAACTGAGGGTCTTCTCAAGAGCCTCCCCACACACACGTCCTCACAACTCTCCAGGCTCCCCTCTCCTCCCCGGCACTCCTCACCGTCTCGTTTACCTTACTTACCGTGTGGACTCTGTCCCCACTCCAGAATGTGCTGTCCCTGACGTAGCAGTCTCCATGTGGTCCGCTCAACCCTCTGTCCAGAGACCCCACAGCAGCACTCCCACGGCAGACCCACACCACGAGAGGAGGTCGGCACACTCACACGCCGGACAACGCCTGGCCAGGGGGCACGTGGGGACAGGGTGCTAAAAGGACCGCCCCATCTATTACCTGAGGAGCTCCCTAGTGATGGGGAGAATCCTACGCCTGTGGAGCACCGACTGCCTGATACAATGTTTAACATCACACCTGGTTCTATGTGCTCTACGCGGAAAGTCAATATTTGCTGAGTGGATGGCTCAGTAACTACTAGCAATTAAGGGTGATTTTCTCTACAGTGAAATAAAAAAACACTCATTTTGGCCCAATAAATTTATGTGGAAATTGCCCAAAGGACCATGGTGTGAACATGCAGAAAATCTGCCAAGCTTCTCTTCCTGGGAACCAGGGCGCTGGCTCCTGGCCCCAGCTCTGCCCTCAGCCAGCTCCGTGACCTTGGCAAATCTCAAGTGCTTAGAACCCCGATGTATGCACGTAGAAAATGATAGGGTTCATTTTCCACCTGTAAAAGATCAACTGCACATTTCCTAAATTACAATAACTTGGTTAGAGTTAAAGAGACACCAATCAATTTGCATTATTACAAATGCAACAAGAGGCCTTTTGGACAAGGAACAGGCAATATTCACTGACGTCCTTAACAGTGTTGAAATCCTTTGATCAGGAAGCCCCGTGTCTAGGAATTCATCCACAGAATTAAAAACATCAGGGGCACGAAAATGCTCATTACAGTATTTGCCGTAACGTGGTTAAACTTAAAGAGCAAGGATACGATTTTTTAAAAGACTATCAAAACCAGCAGAAGCAGAAGAATGGAAAAGTGCAGGCGCACGGGTTGAAGTTCAAAAAGATACAGCAGGTGAAAAGAGGTTTTGGTCAAAATCTGCAAACTTTACCTATGTTGACCCCCTGACCCAGAAACCCCATTTCTGGGCATGGGAACAGTATGTAAAGTCAGTCATGGTCGTCCTGTTTGAAACACCAAAAGATGAAAAACGATCCACGTTGGACACTGGTGGAATAAGGCGTGGGGCGTCCACGCCGTGGACACCGGGCCGCTGCCGACAGCGCGGACGGCTTGCTAGGCATGAGAATGGGAAGGTCTGCGAGACACGTTAAACAGAGAGAAAGCGTACAGAGGTACATCCCGCGCCCTGAACACTGTGACCTTCACGTACGTTTGCACTTATGTTTACCTGCATAGAGAGACAGGGTATGAGTACCCTGGATCTTAACTAAAACAGCCTCCTAACTCAGTGGACGAGGCTGGACGGTGGAGGGAATGGCCAGGCACAGAGGCAAAGAGAACTTCCCGATATTTACGTTTAAGTAAATCTGTTTGCAAACAATAGGGACATCCCTATTTTAAAATCACAAGGTTTGGGACACCTGGGTGGCTCAGTTGGTTAAGCAGCTGCCTTCGGCTCAGGTCATGATCCCAGCGTCCTGGGATCGAGTCCCACATCGGGCTCCTTGCTCGGCACACATCATCCATCCCCCTATCCTCCTCACACAACCATATACCCCCCACCCATCACCTACCCTATCGTGCATCCATCAGTCACCCATTCATCTACCCGCCCATCCACCAATACTGCCTTCCCTTCGCTGCCTTCCCTTCACTCCACCTGCCCTTTCTTTTTCTTCCTTTCCCTTTCCTCCCCCTTTCTTCTATCTAAGCACCCAAACCACTATCTATTTATATATCTAATTAGCCAACAAGCCTCCCCTGAGCCAGACACTGTGCTGGGTATTACAAATACAGAAACACATCGGATCATGGATCCTAGAGGAGCACCCAGTTCACTGGAAAGACACTGAGATTTAACTGATTGCCAATACACTGCCATCACGTTCCAGGTATAAAGGGAGTCCAAGGGTCAGACATTTGCTAAGAGGATGGAGGACTGAGATTACGAAGATGAAGGGGTAGCTAGTGCACCAGAAAGACTAGGATCGGGCATTCCAGATGGGAGAACAGGAGAGACTCAGGCACAGCGTATCAGGGAGGAAGCCAACCCATGACATTTCCGGAGTTTAAACCCAGGACTGCTTTCAAAACTGTTACAAGTTTTGGCTTTGTTTTATAATGCATGCTTAGGCCTAGGGGTGAGTAAATGTAGACAAGCTGTCAGGGAAGTCAGGCAGTGTGGCTGGTCAAAAGAGCCAGGTGTTTCCTCTTTGAAAGCCTCTGGCCCTGGCGGCACACCCCCCAGGCAGAGGGCAGCCCCAAGGGCCATCTGAGGGCAGAGTCAGACCGCCACCTAGTGTTCACAATGATACATACACGACCGCCCAGGCACGCTGTTCTAATTCAGACTCCCCTGTTAGTGTTTCTGTGCCTCATCATTCTCAAAGATAAAATAAACCATCGAGGTACAAGATCTCTAAGAGCCGTTGTCGGCTCTGAAGCTTGATCCCAGGCCAGGGCACCCAGATGTGTGGAAGAGAGTACACCTCTGCTTAGACCTCCTCCTGGAAACTGTCCTGCAGGCGCCACATGCTTCTGCAACCACACCGCTCACGCGAGGAGCCCGGCTCTCCCGCCTGCGGACTACGTCCGTCCGTCTGAACGTAATGTCGATGGTGGGTTACGGGATGTGAAATCAGGTCAGGCTTTGTTAAAATCACGTGCACACCAATACCTCAGAAGAGATGAAAACGCCAGCAAGGGGCTATTTCGAGGGCGTCCGTGCAATCCCTGCCACTGGGAGCACACGGTCAGTCCCAAAGAAGCCAGGGACTCCTCGCAGCCACTAACATACCAAAATCCTTGACCAAACGCTCCCATTCTTGGGCAATAACACGCCTTCGTTTTCACCCTCTCTTGCCTCTTACTCTGCCTGCGTTTCGTAAGCAAGGACACCGATCTCGTGCCGACTGGTGACGGGAGGAGCAGATGTTGCCAGAAGGAAAGCAGCCAGAGGTAAAGAGTGACATAGGGAGCAAATGTCGCAAAACAAAAACAGCCAGTCAGTGAGTGTGTTACAAACGTGTGTCAGGCCCTGGGTCCGTCACTGCAGGAGACACGGGAGTCAGTGGGTCCAGGCTCCGAGGGCGTCACGGCAGCGCAGCACCGCTCGTGCTGGCAATCTTGGGGAGTCCACGGCCTGGCAGGGGTTCTCTGACCGCGCGCGGCCCCCGGCGTCTCCCACAGTAAATGCATCATGGATGTTCAGGAGACGAGCCAGCTGCAGGGAACCGGTAGGCTCTGAGTCACCTCCCCCGGAGAGTTCTACAAACCACACTCCAGTGCTGGGGGACAAGACGCCAAAATCAAAGATATGTGAGGTGAATGAACGGAACGTCTTTAATTCACTGATGCCGGGCATCTGCCTCCAGCCTCAGTGCCTGCCAAGCACGGGCCACATGCGGCAGAAGGTGGGTGACAGGGGTGAGGGACCCAGAGCTGTGGCCGCTCACATGGCTCTTCCCAGGTCCTCCTGCAGGGACATCATGGCGACAGCCTGAGAGAGCCACCGCGGGAGTGTTTGCACCACGCAGCGCTGCAGACTGGGGCGTCCCCCGCCCGGGAGCCAGCAGTTAAATACCAACCATGGCACTGCTGGGGTGTGCACTTGAGGCGAGGGATTCCGGGAGGTACGAGAACCGGCAGTGAGCCGAGGCTACGCCGATGCCCACCAGGGGACAGCACCCGCCTCTCTCCTGCCCGCCTTTGGTAATAGCTCCTCTTTCCTCTGCTGGTGAATATTTTTTGCTCTGAACTCCTGAGGCTCCTCTCTGTTCTCTGAAAGAACGGGTTCTGGTGCGAGGGCAGGCAGACACCAGTCGTGACAAAGGGGTGAAAACTGCCCAGACACGGATTTGAGATGCAGAAAACAGGTGCTTGGAAGCTCGGGGGGCTTCCCTGGGGAGGCTGCAGCTCCAGGCGGCGTGAGCCAGGCGCAGATGTGCTGAGGGGGCCGGAAGAGAGAGTCTCAGACAGTTTGGCTGAGCAGAGGGAACACAGGTAACCGGACGTGTGCAGGCAGGACACTGGGGCGGAGTCCGGCAGAGCCAGACCAGGGAGCGCAGGATCACCGCTCGGAAGCTGTTTGTCATGTTGAGAGACTAGGGAGCAGGTGAGTTCCAGGGGCTTTATGGGGGATGGCCCACAGGAAGGAAGACGGAGCCAGGAGACCCTTCCGGGACTCCCAGCAGGCCAGGCAGGTGGAAGGGAGGAGGATGATGGGGAGGAGAGGCTCGGACCAGAAGACAGTTCAGAAAGCAAAATCAGCAAGACGCAAAGGGATCCAAGAATGCTGCACTCAGTTTTGGCCAGAGGGGACAGATGTGCGACCTCGGTAATAAGAGAAGAACGGTGAGTTCCACTCAGATGTTCTGAGCGTGAGCTACCAGCAGGTCCCCATGTGAAGATATCTATGAGACAGTCAGTGTGTACTTGGGTCTCGAGCTCTGGGGAGGAGCCAGCAGATTTCAGGACCATCAGCACACAGATGTTCAAGCGAGGGACTGCCTCCCAGAGAGGGAGCACAGATTGTGGAAAACAACCGAATTAAGCCATCCCACCATCTGTGTGCAGAAGAGAAGGCCATCTAGAAAGCTGTCATCAGCTCAGGCCACCAGAACCAAGCACCGCAGACGTCTCTCTTTTCATCATCCTTGGGGGCGCGGGGTCTGAGGCCGAGCTGCACCCATCTGCACGTGGCTGGCCCTTTGCACCTGTCTGTGCCCTCATCTCCTCAGAAGGGCAACAGTCATGCTGGATCAGGGCCCACCCAACAGCCCCACGGTCACGTCATCACCTTTCTGAGGGACCCACTTCCAGATACAGTTACATTCGGAGGCACTGGAGCTTTGGGCTACAAGATGTGAATTCCGGGGGGGGGGGGAGCTAATTCAGCCCCTAACAAAGGAGGACCCCTGGGAGGAGTATCTGTGTATGTGTATATGTATGTGTATGTGTGCTGCCAAAGTGAGCACAGGATTATAGGAGAGTCAGGAAAAGCTGAGCATCCGGGAAGCCCCCAGGTGGGGTGGGATCGGGGGCTGATGCAGGTCTCACAGGGACGGACACAGGGACTGATGGCACCCCTCTCCAGGAGACTTGGGTCCCATGCGCTGGTTTTTGGGGCCCCCAATGGGCTGCCTGCACCCTCTAGACGGGACTCTCCTCAACTCCCTCTACTCCTATCCAGGCTCCCGAGGGCTCTGGGGCACCCACATTCCAACTCTGCACCACGAGTGCTCTGGGAACCCAGACAGCGCGGTACCTGCAAGATGGGCCATGAGGGCCACAGGGCAGACGGCCGGCCTTGGCCGTGCAAACCAATGCATTTCCAAGAGGGTTGGACAGTGGTGCTGCCTGAGGGGAAGCGGGAAAGGGAGCAAGGCCGGGAGTGGGGTTTAGGGCACACAAAGGAGACACACTGGCTGCAGGGGAGTGAGCCCGGGAGGAACTGGGGGGTCCGGGTCACCCAGGCCTCTTGTCTGAGTGACACGGAGGCTGGAGAGGCACGTCACAAAATGGGGGGCACATGGAGGAGGAGGGGATCTCAAGGGAAAATCCAAGTTCCACTCATACATGTTCTGTCGCCCACATGGGGAAAGCTAGTGGCAGCTGGGAGCCGAGGGGGCTGTGCGGTCACAGGAGGGACCGGGAGTGCACAAGGAGGGCTCCCCTGTCACCGGGGTCACAAGGGCTGGTCCCACCTCCCTATAAACAGAATAAGAAGTCATCGGTGACCCCTCCGTGATAGTCCACTCCGGTATCCTCGTTTCACCAGCACAAAGTCTATGGCCAGAAAGCAACGCAGCTGTCTCGAGATCTGCTGAAGACCGAAGGCATGGGGCACCCTGGGTTAGGACAGGAGCTCTGTGAGACATACCCTCGGGCCGGCTCCCCGCACGGGCCGTCCAGGATGGGCTGCCTGGGGCACGCTCCCGCCCTTCAGCCCGGCCCCGCAGGCGCTCGTGGGCACAGCTCCAGGCACGGGTGTGCGTACAGAGCCCAGTTATCCGCTGGCTCTCTTAAATGCCATCCTTTGGCTAAAAGGGAGCTCCCCCTTCATTGCGTGGGGGGTGGCCCTAGGGTTGGTTCCCTGCTCAGGAGCAAAGGAAGAGCCAGTGTGGAGCAGACCCTCGCCGGCGGGGTGACGGCGTCCTCAGGAGATGGATCTAGGGCGGAGGTCACGGACCTCCACCCCTGACGCCGGACGCCAACGCTGGACCCCGGGCCAGCACCAGAGACAGCGACCGTGTCTAAGTGAGGGTGTCTAAGGGACGGGCGAGGGGCAGAGGAAGCGCAGACACGTAAGCATCTCCTGCTCCCATCGAGCACTCTGCGCGGGGTGGGGGGGCGGGCAAGCTGGACGTCTCTCACACCCTGCAGCCAGAGCCTTCCAGACCTCCCTGCCTCCTGTTCGCAAGACCACTGTGTCCACACGAGACCCTGTGACACCGAATAAACGAAGTGACGTCACTCGGACAGAATGGAATTGTGCGAAACTTTTACGTGACAGACCCTTCTGCTCACGGCAGGACGCCTTGTGAGAAAACTCACGGCGGGGTTCTAGAATGTATTTGGCACGTGATATTTTTAGTCCCACAAAAATATGGGGAGCAGCCTACAAGGAACACAAGGACTCATGCTAAAATTCTCCAAAAAAATCTAAAACAATGTTATCTAACTTCGCATCTAAAATTGGGAAAGCGAAGACACAGGGACTTTGTAACGTCAACAAACGACACACAGTGATCGAACACCACCCCTAGAAATGGGGAGTCACTGCGGCGCAGTCTCCGGAGGAGGACCCGACAGCCCTGCCAGACGCCTCAGCAGCTCCGCCACGCGGGCCTTAGAGACGGTGAGTCAGGGCACTTCCGGGGCCTCTGCCCCAAGACTGGCTCTTCCAACCCCTCCCTGGGCAGCGCCACCTGCCTCAACCAGCCACACAGGGGTGGTGAGCCTGAGGGCAGATGGGGGCCAGCCTCTCATACCATCTCTGACTGCTCTGCTCCACCCCTGCTCTGTCCCCTCAGACCATCACCCCATGGTTCTACCCCCAACCCTCCCTGTTCCCTCTGCCTGTGTCCCCCCATCTGTCCCCCCTCTGCCTGTCTCCCCCCCGCCTGACTGACTGTCCCTCCTCTGCCTGACTGTCCCTCCTCTGCCTGACTGTCCCTCTTCTGCCTGTCTCCCCCTGTCTGGCTGTCCCCCCTCTGCCTGACTGTCCCTTCTCTGCCTGACTCCCCCCTCTGCCCCGTCCCCCACTCCCACAGCCAACTCCTCCTCATCACTGTGAAAATTATCCAAAGGAAACCTCATTTAAAATGGCATCGGGGGGTCAGTAGGTAGACCTCAGCTGTCCTCAGGGTCAGACCCAACAGGAACCCACATGGGGATACTACTTTAGCTACTCCTTTGCTTCCTCAGCAGGAGGAAGGACGGTTTCCTCCTCCCCACTTCCCCCAGGAGCAGCCCAACCACGGAGAGATGCTCACAACTCAGCCAGGGAGAAGCCACGACATTTGGGGCTCGCAGTTTATTCCAAAGGACTTCTGATGTTTGTAACAGCCTTCCCTACGGCTGCCTTTCTTCTATCAAAGGGACTTGCTCTCCTTTGTTCTCCAGACCTGCCTATGGTTTGGCTGTAGCTTGCTTGTCCCAAGTGGCATTCCTATGCTATTCCCCAATACACCCGTTTTTGTCAGTAGAGCCGCTGGGAATTTTACTTTTAGGGCTAGTGTCACTCAGCACTCCGCCATGGGCACCACCTCCAACGGCCCTTCCCGGCCAGGCCCTCCTAACCCATCTCCTCTCCCGCTGACTCCTGGCACCTGTTATCCCTGTCCCTGCACGGAACGCGGGTCCCGCAAGACAGGGACACATCAATCTTATCCCCTGGAGTATTTCCAGCCCCAGAAGAGGGCCCGGCATGCGGCGGGAGATGAATGCATGTTCCAAGTATGGATGAACATGAATGCATGGGCCCTGCGGAAACCCCACCGGCCGCCTAGACACTCCCAGGGAGGGACTTTTTCCATTCTCTCTGTTCCCCTTTCCTGGGACTACCTGGCTTACCCCAAGGCCACTAGAGAAAGATCTGCATTAAGGGCCATGCAAGGATTAAGCCACCCAGAGGCTCACCATCAAAGCCGTGGGTCAGGCGTGGGGAAGCCAGTCTGACCTTAAGGAGCTCTCACGTGCTAATCACGATGCATACGTACTGCCACTTCGGGCCAGGGCTACCCTGAGGGTACCCTGCAACCTAACCCTTCGGTACCCTTAGGGCTACGGTAAGCATGATCTTACACCAAGAAAGTCAGGTGGGACCCATGCTGACCAGCTCTGCTTTTCCATACAGCGTGTCTCCAAGCCCCTGGCGCACCGGGTCTCTCTCCCAGAGATCAAAGTTCCAGGTGAGTCACCTCCTACCTGTGTCCGATGCCAGATGACAGACGCCCTGGAATGGCCCAGCTTATTCCGGCAGGGTCCTTTATCGTAATGGATCAGAAGGAAATCATCCTGCGAAGACAAGAGAGAGAGAGAGAGCAGGGCTGATGGCAGGTTCCTCTTGGAACAGTGAGCGAGTCCTGCCGGGGCCGAGTTTCTTTCTTTAGTTCCAAAGCAAGTGCGAGTCTGAGAGGGAGTGGGTGGCCGAAGAACACGCACCCGTGGTGCTGGGCGGCCCGGTAGGATCTCGGTGCTCCATGGTCCCGGGAGCATCCCTGGAGGGACGCGGCTGTGGGCACTAGAGGGAGCCCTGCCCCAGATTTCGGCCTCCTGCCTTTGCAGACACATAATCTCTGGGATGTGGGGCTTATGAACAAGTAGGTCACAGGCTCCTGCTACCCCAGGAGCGGCTCGGGGGCCCTGGCTGTGTTTGATTCCACTGGAGCACGTCGGCCTTCACATCTTCCTGCCGCCTGCCCGCCCGCCCGCCCGCAGGATTACCCCTGGATTAGAGGATTCCCTTGATCTCTGGCTCGTCCTCCTCCATTACCGTGGGGCTTGTCACCTGCGAAGTGCCTCTTCCTTTCAGCTCAGACCACGAAAGCGGACTCATTACTTAGCAACAACTGGGTCGGCAACCATCTGCCACCTACGGGCCCTCCGATGGTCTGAAGTGAGTTCTGACTCACCGAGACATCCTGTTCCTGCTGCTCCCCACGCCCCCGGGGCTCTCTCCTCCCATCCAACCTCCAGTCGTCCTCAGGCTCTAGGAGTTGGGCCCCCCCAACTGAGGACAAGCTTGAACTATGTGCCCGCCTCCGTGCGTGGCACCCCAACCCTGAGCAAGACCCGCTGAGCCTGCGGGAACGGGTTTTCTACCCAAACCCTCTGCTCCCCGCCCTCCGAACAGGAAGTACCATTTTCTCTCCCTTTAAACAAAGACACAGCTCCATAAACGGTACCCAGGAGGGGCTGACGGCTGTTTACTCACTCAACCAACGGTGTAAACAGACAGCCTCATCCTGAGAAAGGAATAAATAAGCGAACAGGCCCAGTGTTACTGAGGGCGGGGAAGTCACTCTTCCGAGAGTCCTGGGCTGCCGCGCATACAGCCTGGGGTCTGGCCCTTAAAATCAGCCTGGCTTGAACCAGACTGAGGGACCACGTTCAGCGAACCTGGCTCCCCTCTGGAGAACGGCGCCGGCCTGGAGTCTGTGGACCATCCAGGGCCTCCTCCTGGTGCCAGGCTGCACCGTGTGCATCACAGAGCACTAGTCTCTCTGGGGTCGCAGCGGAAGCCTTTGTAGGATGCTGGAAGGCCCAGCCTGCCACCACCTGCCTCCCTGCCCTTCCCTGAGTCCTTTCGACGGTGGGAGGAAGCCCGGGGATAAAGGAAGAGGAAGCCTCTTCCAGCCCGAGCTTCATTGTCTCTAAAACAATTTTTGACATCTGTCCACTGTGAACCTCGCTTCCTTGAATTTCTAATTAAGATTTTATTTATTTATTTATCTATCTATCTAGAGAGCATGTAAGTCAGGGGGAGGGGCAGACGGAGGGGGAGGCTCTCCCAACAGATGCCCCGCTAAGCGCAGAGCCCGACAGTTGAGCTCTACCCTGAGATCATGGCCTTGAGCAGAAGCCAAGAGTCAGTCGCTTAACTGAGCCTAACTGAGCCGCCCAGGTGCCCCTCCTTGAATTCTCAGTTCTGTTTTCCCTTCTGCTGACATCATCATACACGGAGATTAGTTCATTCTCCGTGCCTGGGTCTTGTGTTCCCAGACTGCCTATCACAAAGTTTCGCACTGTAGGCGAACAGATAGCTTCTGAGTTCATTTTCTGAAACAAACCCGAAATGTGTCCGGGCAACCCCAGCTCCTCCTGATCAGGGGCGCTGCTGCTCCGAGTCCCAGGGGCTGAACGGAAGCACGTTCAAATGGTACCTTCCACTCTAAGATGCTTTTTACAAAATATACATGATTTTCTTGTGACTTGAAGTTTATTGGCAAAGGCCTTGGGCAGAACAGCCCCCGGGCCCTGCCAGGAATCCGGCTGTATTTCTGCACGGGACTCTTTGTCTTGACTACTGTTCAGGGAGGTCCCATTAAGCCCCTGGCTGGAAACGGGAACAATGGAACACAGCAGAAAGCTGCCATCACAGAGATATTCAAAGATAAAAATAAATCCCCTCGGGCCTTTTGTGTCAAACTCTGGCCGCTGCTGCTCTAACCCCAAACTGTGGTATTTTTCAGAGACTGAAAGATGAAAGAGTGGATGCGGGTTCGTTCCTCACTCCTCCGGTGCCTTTGGGAAAGGCTGTTAAATCTTCCTGGGTTCCCCTGGGGAAAGGAAATACCTCCCACTCTCACAGAAAGAACGCACGGATCAAATACAATGGGTGTGTAGAGCCAATCGCACAGGGTGGGCACTGAACAATTACCCTAACAAAGATGATCTATGTACTCTCCGAAAAAACAAGAAAGAAAGAAAGTGCGAGTGTCCCTTGCTGGGAGGGCATCCCAGAGGGGATGCGGGGGAGCACTACGGGCGAACCCTTGAGGACCCGGCACAGGCTGGGGAACGAGGCACATGCTGGAAGGAAGCAGCCGCACAGGATCTAGACCCCCCGCGGAGTGGACACGAGCAAGCGAAAGACAAGTGACACGCGTTCCTGTGTTAGAAGCCTGGCCGGCCTCCAGCCAGGCGATCGCACTTGTCTTAAATCACGGTGATGGCCCTCGGTGAACCGCTCCACAGCAGACTCCCTTCCCCTGATAATCTGCGTTCTAAGGCCCCAGGGTCATTTCTCAGCAGCTCTTTGTTTACAAACAGGAAGTGCTTGGCCTTGAGGATGGATGACTTTCACAGTGGAAAAGGGCAAGGCGGCGCCTGAGTCTTTAGTTCAGGCAGAGTCGGGACGGCAGGGCTTCAGAACTCAGACAGACAGACAGACAGGGTGCTTCTCCAGGGACCAGAGCAGGGTCGACAGCCTTGTGTTCCGTGAAGACTGCTCCCGTTCCTGTAGCTTCATCAAAGCAGGGCAGTGATCACGCCCGGAGGTACACCTTCTGCTTCTGCCAGCCTGGGTCCAAGACTTCCCCCCAAAAACTCTTCAAGGAGACTGGGTAACACAGAGTAAAATGGACACTTCCCTTCCACTCCCCTTTAGGAAAAGTCATAAGGAGTGGCACACCGCAGACCAGACACTAGATGATACATCCTAATTTAAAAATCAGTTTTCCCCCTAAAATTGGAACATGGGACAATACAAAACTATATATAGAGAGAAAGACCATACACACACACACACACACACACACACACACACACACACACACATATATTATCTCATATATATACTGTATACATATGTAGTACACAGATCCGAAAACTTCGAGGCCCTAAGGACTTTGGAGTGCTTGAGACAGGCTTCTAGACGTCTCTTCCCACCACACAAGGTCACAGAACACACTTGCTTGGATCTAAGATAAAGAAGATTAATCTTGCCAAACTGATTTCTTAAACTTGACCTTGGATAAGATAATGAAGCCTCCAGGATAGCAAAAGGGTATTATCTTCCCAAGATTTGTTGAGCTACACACAGTTCTACTGTCCCTTTAGTAATTTATAGTTAATAAAGGAAAAACAGACTTCTCAAAACAAACAAACTCAAAAGAAGCGATCTAGCTAACACCTTTAAAGGTGGCCTTTATGTTACAGACCTGTTACCTTCTTTAAGATTCCATCTCAAACAGGCATTTACTTTCTTCCTGATAATCTGTAGACACATCCTGAAGACAACAGGCTAAGTTTCAAAGTTACTCCACTCCACCCACCATTAGGGACCCTTCTTCCTTCACCTTGGGAGCCCTGAGATAGTGGCCCCTTCTTGTCCCTCAGGAGCTAAGCTGACTGCTCTGATGTGGGCCCCAGGAGGGACACTTCCCCTGAAAAATGCTTTGATGTCACAGAGGGACGGAAGCAGGGGCAGGCTGTGGACAAATTCCTAAAAAGGTGAAGCAGGCATCTGTGGCAACCCTCCTTTATTTCAGTTATATCTTAATGGCTTAATACTATTTTTGGAAGAGCTGGACAGAGTTGTCCTGCTGTATAGGACAGACATATATAAATACATAGGACACATGACTTGATGTGCTTTGACAGTCACTAAGCACAGTCATTTTAACAGATGACTATATCTGCTACTTAACTGTGGTTTTAAAAACCTATGTACAGGGGCACCTGGGTGGTGCAGTGGTTAAGCGTCTGACTCTAGGTTTTGCCTCAGGTCATGATCTCAGGGTTGTGAGATGGAGCCTGGTGCCAGGTTCACATGGAGCATGGAGCCTGCTTAAGATTCTTTCTCCCTCTCCCCCTGCCCCTCCCCACTGCATGCATTCTCTCTTTTTACACTAAATAAGTAAGTCTTAAAAACAAAAACAAAAACCTAGGTACAAATAAACTCTTGTAAAACTAAAGTCAGAATGTCATCACTTTGGCAAAATGCCCATTTTCCTAATAGGGGTGAGGAAGGAGAATATGGAACTGAAAAGAAGTGTTCTTTGCATCTGGCCTTGAAACTCCAGAAAAAACAAAACAAAACAAAACAAAACAGGTGCTTCAAGAGGGGAGAGCCAGGCACTCCCAGCAGGAAGTGCAGAGATACTGGGGTACAGAGTGTTTTGGAAGCACTCAGCACAGGGCATACTTGCAAGGAGGTGGCCATATGAGGCTGGGAACTTCCATTCTGCCAGATGGCTCAGAGTGTGTGTTTTTCTGTTGTGAAGGTGACAGAAGGTCAGCAAAGTAACTGTGCCCCCACCACCCCATTTCCCTGTCCCCTGCCTCTGTTTATCCTTCCTAGTGCACTGACAGTCCCTGCTGTGCTCCCTGCTGTGCACTACACATTTGCATCCCCCCAAACTCCTAAGTTGAAGCCAAGTCCCCCCTGTCCCATGTGATGCTATCTAAAGTGGGATCTTTGGGAGGTGATTAGGCTCAAATGAGGTAATGAGATGGGCAGACGCCCCATGATGTGATTAGTGCCCCTGTACAATGAGGGCGAGACACCCACCTCTCTCTCTGCCACATGAGGACATAGTGAGAAAGTGTCCATCTGTAAACCAAGAGAAAGCTTCTCTTGTCTCTCTTGGCACTGGGTCAGATGCCAAGAACCGAATCTGCTCGGATCCTAATCTTGGGCTACCCAACTCTGGAGCATGAGCAATAAATGTCTTGTTTCAGCTCCCAGTCTCTGGCGTTCTGTGACAGCAGGTGGAGCCAAGACTGTCCCCACAGACCAAACCTGAGGCCTGAAGACCCCATCCACCTGGGCTGAATCCCAAGCCCGAGCTGACCTTCTGTTTCCCAGAACTCCTCCTACCACTGCACTGATGAATCCATATTTTCATAAGCACAGAGAAACATCCGATGATGTTACTTCTGTTTCCCAGACGCATTCCCGAAGCTCTTTAGGAAATGGCTGGTGGTTCTCCCCTCCCAGGCAGAAGCTCAAAGTCAAGCTCACGGCTGTACTCACGTCCAGAGACTCGAGGCAGTACCAGCAGAAGGCGTGTTTGCAGTTCTTACACATCATCTGGGCGCACCCCTCGTCCCGCTCGATGTAGACCTTGCACTTGGGACAGCGTTTGATGGGTGCGTCGTCCTCCTCCAGTTTGAAAGCAGAGCTGCGGGGGGAGAGTCCATCAGTGGGAGGCTCAGCAGGGCTGGGTGGGGTGAGAGGGTACGGTCAGGATCGGCGAGGCTGCAACCATTAGTGCAGCTATAGGGGGCCAAGGCCGCTTGTTATTAAATGTTATAAAATGAAACTAAGACTCCGTAAAACATTCACCAAAAAACCATGTGGATCAGCTAGTTGGATTTAAAAGCAATATCAGTATGTACTTAGGTTTAGATATGTGTAGACAAAAGAAATTATGGCAGAGGTTTCTAAAGAAGGTGTCCGTGTCATGGGATGATGGTCAAATTTTGTCTTTATTCATATATTTGTCTAATTTCCAAAGGATCGATGAGAATTTTTATGTACTTTGCTGTTATCAGGAAAAAAATAATAAATGTTAAAAATCCGTGCTCATTGATGAGTTAGATCTACTGGGCCTGTCTTTACAGAGTCACTTTCCTGAGAAGTCTGGTGAGGTCCACAGTGGTTGGCGTGACAGGCTATAAGCCCGGGGTCACGGCTGGCGTGACACAGACTGGCTGTAACAGCCGCACCGGGCCTCGGGCCTCTCAGTGTGGGCACGCTGGAACAACACATGTGACAGGAACACACTGTCACATCGAGCATGGGTGAACTTGGCCATAAACGACATCCAACCTTCTATGTTGCTAATAAAGAGAGGACAGAGACATTTTGGTGTGACCCCAGAAGAATGTTCATCCCATGCCATTAAATTTAAAGAGAAAGCTAAAAAAATGTGCATGGAAACGTCGGGAAGAAAAAGTGGTCAGCCGCTACAAATGGTTACCACCGACTATGAGAACGCATTTGTTGTATTATTTGAACTCACTGCATCAGTCCAACATCCGCAGGAGAAAAACAATCTCCCACTGGAGTGAGCAGCCTTCTAGACCCTGATGCATTCTGGAGCATACGCTCACGGAGAGGAGCAGATTCTGGCATTTGGAGTACATTCTGGAGGAAGGACCTTCCACAAGCCTCATAGTAAACATAACGATTAAAATCGTTTGCCTATAGTATGAGCTATCGGATAATTAGGAGGGGCTCCTCCTCAGTGAGGCGTGGGATCCCGCTGAATGTGGTTCTGTGCTGGTCACTAGCAGGTGGTGACCAGTGGGGACATCCCCGAAGGCGGCAGCGTGTCCTCACTGTGAGGAGCACGGTGTCTAGAGACAGGTCCTGACCATGTGGCTCGGGTACCAGCAGCGTGAGTGTGCCCGTCCCCTGCTCCAAGCGAGGCTATCGGCATCCACCTCGGGGTGCAGCGAGGCCGGAAAGGGTTTCTGTGCACGTGGTACACACACCCAGAGCCCGGCGGGCCGGCAGTAAGCACTCAGTAAGCAGCAGCTGTTATTCTAGTCCCCCTGAAAGGTAACAGTCTCTCCTGCTCTGATTCTTGTCCAGTGTGAAGACAAAACACACAGCAACCAGGCTGCACAGGACGGGACTCGAACTGAGCCAGGGCGGTCACACTCAAGGGCCTCCCGCGGGCCCAGGGAACACAGTCAGCTCTGCGCAAACACGAGCTGTGCCCTCTGGATTGCTGTACTGTGCCCAACAGTCACGGCCACCAAACCCAGGGACTGAGGCTGCCCATCGGGTTAGATAGCACTGCTTCGGTCTGAAAGCCAGTTGAGACCTTAAAGTAATGGAACTAATTTCCTCATGTGATTCATAAGCTCATTTGGAAGGAAATTCCATGAACGGGGACAATGTTATCAGTGGAGAATGAAGACTATGTCTCAGGGAGACTTTTAAATGGGAACAGTTGAAATATGTAAGCTCTGGTGTGGCGCGGCATGCCTAGAAATTCACATGGAATGGACGATGGTTTCCAAACACCTCCAGGCACCTGAATTACATTTCAAATTATTATTAATAACAACCGTTACTATTATAAACTCAAATTTATGAAAATAGATGGGCATCTTCAACCGCTTCCTCACCATCTGCCCAGGGCAGACACACCGCAGTCATCAGAGCTGGCCAGGTGCTGGACGGGAACATGGGCTGAGGGAAGAAAGAACATAACGCAATGCTACTGCATGGAAAAGGAGGAAGCGGTTCATTCCAGCATCCGAGTACCGGCCGGATGCCAAGATCTGGGGTGACAAAGTCCCAGCAAGCCCAGGCCGTGAGGTGGGGAGCTCAGCTTAGTGGGGGAATCAGCTACACACGCAGGTGAGCTCCAGCAGAATGTGCCTGGCAGTCTGATCAATACAGTATCTGGTGGGGGCACATAGGTGGGGTCAGCAGCCCTGCCCCGGGAATGGGGTAGCTTGACGAAGGAGGCATGTGAGCCCATCTTCGCCCGTGGCAAGGGGTCTCCAGGGAAAGAGGGGGGTGGGGGCACGCAGGCACAGGTACAAACGTGCAGACCCGGGAGAGGAAGGAGGGGCCGAGAGGTTCTCCATGCAGGTGAAGCTGCAGGCAGTGGGGGCACGGCAGCAGATGGGAGAGGAAAACAGGGAGCGGCTGGTGACCACACCTTTGGATGGCCAGTGGGAGTCCCTCGATCAAGAACACAGCCTCAACAGGCACAGGGCCAACACCATATTGGGGAACCATCTGTGCTCCAGACTTTATAGGACATCAATTGCTGAATATTACCAACTGCTTAGGACTCATCCGACTTAATTTCAAGATACATACACTGATGCTGCAGTGTCTCCCCGGGCTTCGGCCTCAGGGTCTGACCAGGGGACGAAAGGGGGGAGATGCAGTCTGTTTCCCCACCCCCCCCATCTTCCCACCGGCCCACTCTGCTAGGGAAGTGCAGCCCCTTGTTCCCCGACACCTGGAAATCTATTTTTGGTGATCCCTCTGGTATCTGCAACCACTGACCACCTACCCTTGTCGCTGTGCCCCCGTCTCAGATCACCTTCCACACGGTGGGGTCTTGGACAACTTTAGGTACCATAGGACTTCAAACTCCTCACGGTAATAAACTGTCCATACGTCTGTCCTTCCAGACAGGCTGCGTGTGTCTGCTTCCTGGGCAGACAGTGCCAGCTTACAGCGCCACTGCTTTGCACGATGCCTGACACATCATCAGTTCTCAAAAATAATCAACCTACCCGCCCACCCACCCAGGTTTATTAAACGAGGCTCAAGAGGAAGAGACTGATCCAGAAGGAGTCATGTCTTCTGGAGCCCCATTCAAGGAGATGTGGCTTCCTTCTCTCCCTTCTCCCCAGCCCTCTGCCACTCTCCCTCAGCCCTCTCCCACTGTAACTGGGCAGAGGGTACCTGGTCTCTCCGGGAAGGAAGGTGATCGGCATGGTCTCCGGGCAGCCTTGGCCAGGGTGCCAGCTGGCTTTGCAGGCAGAGCAGAATTCCATGGCACAGGCTTTGCACTGCACCAGCTGTGGGCTCTGCAGGCCCATGTCCTGGAGCTGGCACACAGCCTGGCAGGTGGACGCTGGGCACCAAGTCCGACAGGGGTCCAGGAGCACTTCTGGCACAGGGAGACAAAAACGGGCAAGTCAACATTGCACACGGAGGCTCTCGGGGGTGTTTGGACTGAGGGATCACAGCAGCGTGTGGCTTCACATTTTTAATAGGGAGGGAATGTCCAGACCCTGCGGTCTTCCTATGTCCTTCATGACCCGGTGCCTGTCTGGCTCTTGGTCCGCCCCTTGGTCCGCCCCTCCAGACGCTTCCCACTTCCAACCCCTCCCAAAACACACCCGGAGGCCTTTAGTAATGCTGCTGCCCGTGGCTCCTGGGAAGCACCCCCCCACCCACACACACACACCAATGGTTGGTCTGGGTTCTCTCTGAGTGCCCACAGACCACGGTCCACTTCCTGGTCCACCTCCCCAGGATGCAACTTCCCAAAGTCAGGCCTGCATCTTTGGTTTTGCGGCCTCACAGCCTGGCCCAGTGCAAGGTGTGCAGCGGGTCCTTGGACAACATTTGGTAAGGAGCACAGAAAGAAAGGAGGGAAAGAACATGGCCGAATTCTTCTCATCAAAGGGCTCATTTGCCTAAGGCTGTCCCTTCTCCCAAATTTAAATCTAAGCCATGAACTACTGTGTGAAATGGCCAGGTTGCCTCTCCAACTGGAGACCAAGATGTTAAGAAGCCCCATTACAGTGACAGATTTTATTCTGAAAAGCAGGAGACCCTCCTGTTTCCACTCCCGATCCGGCCTGAGCTACCCTTCCTCGCGAACCTGGGTAATTGTTCCATTCACAGCCTGTAGGGGTAACGCCGAATCCTCAGGGAGGGGCAGCGGCAGCAAGGACCTGACAGGAAACCACACAGAACGCTGAGGCTCTGCCAAAAACCTATCACAGGCCGGAGGGCTATTTTCAAAGGCCTTCAAGTAGGCCACTGGTTTCTAAGCTTTCCAGCCACGGCTCTGGGGAAGTAACTGGAGACCACTGGGTTCTGCAGGGAAACTTGGAAGGCGATGAAAGGACTTGGGAGCTTCCTGGCCGTGTGACTGACTGACCGCCAGGGGTGGGTTAAGTTCACCTGCATCGCGGACAGGACGTGCACACACTGGGACCTACAGCCTCCTGGGGGCTGGACGGGGCTGGAGGTGCGCCCAGACTTCACCTACACGGGCTGCCACAGGACACGCGTAGGTGTGTCATGTTCCCCGATTAAACGAGAAGCCGGATTCAGCCCTCTAGGAGTAAGCTGTGTCAGGTACAACCCTGAAAACGGTATTCTATTCCAGGAATGAGCAAACATTCTCTGCAAAGGAGCAGACAGTGAGTGTATTTTAGTCTTTGAGAGTCGTGTGGTCTGTCTCCAATGACTCCACTCCGCTACTGTAGCCAAAAGCAGCCATGCTGATTCGCAAATAGCTGTTCCAATAAAACTTTATTTACAACATCAGGCTGTGGGCCGGGCCACTCTGGGCCACTGGTCACGGCTGGCCCACTCCCGCTCTAACCTAACTCCTCCCCTGACCTGTTATTTGGAAGGGAGAATTAATTAATGGCAGGAAGCTATCCAGTTGGTAGGTCTAGGGAGGATATAGTAGAACCTGCTAATATAAAGGGACTCTGGAATCCAGGAAAATGTGCTACTTTTTAGCTGAGCTTCATTACAGTAATGTAAACTCTTCATGAGGTTCCTAATGGTGAGTGAATGAGGAGGATTAGCTCTTGCCATCAGCTGCTTTTCTAGAAATGTCTGTGGCCATGAGATCGGGGTGGGGGGTGGCTCTGTGGGGCAACGTAGTGGTCACCTCTGAGGCATATGTGTGGGGAGCTCCCCTGAGCTGAGGGGACAGGAAGAAGGAGGAGGGAGAGTAGCCCCCCATGGAGGTCCCCACCCCGGGGAATGAAGGCGAGGCAGGTGACCCCTCCCCTCCCCGACCCTCCTCTCCCCAGTCTCATTGAGCTCCTCTTGACGGTCCCCACATGGCTCCCTATCTTTGGTGCTAGTGAGTAGTCTGGCGGGGGCAGCTCCATCCCAGCTAGATTCTGGGGCCCCCTATGAGCACAGCACCTGCAGAAGGGCAACGCAGGTCACTTAGCACACGAACCACCCCAGGGCACATGGGGAGAGCGCGTGCGCCTGCTCTGCTCTCTTCCCACTGGGACCCTGTGGTTAGTGCTGGTCCGTCTGGGAGTGTCAGTGAGCCTGCTGCCCTCCCACAGACCCTGCGGGTTCCCTCGGCTCTCGGCCCCGCCTCTGCTGCGAGGGGTCCGGAGGCATCAGGGCGGGCTGCAGGCCCTCACACACCTCGTGGCCGTGCCCAACCTCCCAGTTACTCTCCTCGCACAGCAAATGCAGCTACGAGGCTGCCTCATCATCAGAGACTCAATTATACAATGGAGCAGAGGCCAAGGAGACCTAGTGAAGGTTTCCATGGTAATGGCTTCAGTTGTGTGACTTTGTCCTCATGGAGCTGTGACAGGAACTGCCTGTTTCTGGGGAAAGATTCCCTATCGGAGAGGTAAAGGGCAAAGAGTCTGTCCCAGCCTGCCGAAGGCAAACACCCTTCCTGTGCTTCCAGGACCCCTCAAACCCTGCAAATACGGCCCCGGGACTCTTCTCATGGGGGGGCACCAACACTCCCATCACCGTGCCGAGTTCTGCCAGCCGGTGCACAAGACAGGAATCGATCAGGAAGAAAATCCACACTGGGAAGAAAGCTCTTCTTTTGGGGAAGCATGTCAGAACTGACATCTAAGGCTATGGATCGCATATATAACTAACAGTATACATGAGGCACACTGTATCTCTGATACATCGTATCTAATGTTTTACACACACATGTCTGTGTACAGCACAGGCTTGTTTCAAGCAAGGCCAGTCGCCTATTTTCTTGCATAGCAGAAGAAAATATTCTCAGCTCCCACCTCCCAAAGACACACTAACCCTAGATAAAGGAAGCAGATCCCCAGTAGCTCTGCTTATAAAAAAGCCCAAGACTTTTTTAAAAAGGTGCTTTTCTTTTTAAACATGTGTTCTTGGGGAAGCATGCAAGGAGAGTCAGAGTTCTGGCTTTCTCCACACGCCTGTCCAGGCTCGTGCTCCAGCCACACCCCTGCAGCAGCACATCCCATCCCGTGGGGAGTCCTTGGCCCCGGTCAGGTCTGCCTACTGATGGATCAGCTCAGCAAGTGGGCTCATCTGTCTGGGCTTTACTCTGGCGGAAAGCACCAACGCCACACAGGACAAGACCTGACTTGGGCATTCATCGGACCTGTTGTCCCAAGGATAAAGAATCCAGGAGGTCACAGATACGCCCCTGGATGGCAAGGACTTCAGGAGCGAGGAACGGGGAGAGAAACACCTGCCTTCTGACTCAGTGGCTTAGCCAGGAGCACGGGTGTAGTGCAGTGGGGCGTGCAAGGGGGGCAGCCATCGCGCAGCAGCGGCCCCCATCGGCCTCTGGAGTCTCCCACATGGTCAAGTGGGCAGTCAGAAAGAAAAACAAGCCCACAGTCTCCTTGGCAAAGATCCCAACTGGAGGAGTGGGGGAGGAGATGAAAATCAAGCTTGCTATGCCTGAAACGAACATAACATTGTGTCAGCTGTACTTCCACTTTAATGAAAGATCAAGGCTGGTATGTGAGAGGAGACGTTCTAAGACAAAACAGAGACAATGCTTACAACTTAGACTGATTAGGAACTAGGTGCTGTCAGAGCACCAGGGAGCTGGGTCCTCCTCCTGGGCGTCCTCCCGGAATGCATTTCAAAACGACAGATGAGGCCGGAAACTCCCCTTCTGATCATATCTCAAAACTTGTTCGCCGTACTAGCTAGTTCGCTGTACTAGCTAGAAGCAATTGCGTCACGTGAGCTCCAACATTTTAACATTTCACTCAGACAGGTCTTTGGTCACAGTAAGTCTGAGTTCATTGTGTGTTTTCACGTAATGCTAGCAAAATGTTCTCAAGTAATATAGCCTTGAGAGATTTTGTTAACATAAGTCAACTTGGCTTCCTTTTTATGCAAGATTAAAAAAAAAATCCTTGGCTTATCCAAAGCACTTGAAATTACAAAGTATTTGAAAGTACAATGTTGAAATTATTAGGTAGGAACGTTTATACAGCTGCATTTTTACATGAAATTCAAGGTCAGAGAAAGTTAATTTTCTTAAAACCCAAAGAACTACCAATTTCTGTCAAGATTCTCTCTGGAAAATATTTTCAGACAAGACTGAAAGTTTCAGAAATCCAAATTAATCAATTGTATAGCTCCACACGCTGACTTCTATATCGCATGGTGTTACATTTATTTTTTTTATTTTTTTTTTTACATTTAAACTATAAACCCAAACAAAATGATATATGCCATTTAAATAAACAAGCTCTTGAAAACAATTTCAATGCCATCAGAATCCTGTTTGATTAAAAAAAAAATTAACTTGGCCTCCCACTGCTTTTTTTTAATTTTTTCCCCAGAAATAAGCCCTAAGAGGAAATGCAACTACCTTTAACATTTCTTAAGGAAAGAAAGACCTCTCCACATTTGGCTAAACTAGCAATCTCTTGATCCTTTCCTCTGCTCTATTCTGCTTTCTTCCCATCTTGAGTGTTTTCCTGTGAACACGCAGCCCAGGACTGCCTCTCAGTAATGAGCATCTGATGCAGACGAGGCTCTCTCTATACCAGAGCAGGAAGAGGGGAGAGCACCCTTGAACGATTATAGTCTGAGCTGAAAAGGTCAGAGTTTGGATGCACGGTAAAATCGTATAAGAAGCATCATCTAAACATGTCTGTTACTCTGCTCCTTTTCCGGTGAGCCCAAGGTCCAGGACACATATGAGAATGAAGCCAAACGGAAGGCACAGACTCTTTAAAACATCATTTTATGACCTTGGCACACTTCAGAGAGCCAAGCCAAAGGCCAGTCCTGGACATCCAACACATTTCAATGCTTGGCAAGGCCACCGTGTAAATGATGTCATCTCTGCTCTGCACGTGCCACACAGTGCTCCTGGGAAACCCTGAGGTCTGTGGCAGGCCTGGCTCCTGCCAAGTGGGTGTGCAGGACACAGATCTGGTCCACGCTCCACCCTACGACCCATGAGAGCTGGAAGTCTGGGCAGGTCAGTTAGCCTCTGCAGGGGCCATGTTTACAGAAGGGGGCAAGCTGGCAGGGCCATCAGAATACTTACGGAGACAAGGGACTTGGGCCTGGCGCCCGCCTTTCCAGACCGGCCCCAGGGCAAAGGGACAGACTACACTGTCTGTCAAGATGCCAACTGCCACATTTCCACCTATGCGTGGCCTCCCAATGTCCTTCTGTGCCTTTGGAGCTTTTAAATTCTGCAGCGTCTAAGAATTTAGTCCCGGTACTCTTAGCCCTAACCTGGCTGAGGAATAATCATGCCCCATGAAGGTCAGATCTCTTTAAACCACCCCCTGCACCCAAATCTCCCTAACGAGGTGTTTTAGGATTCCTTCTCATTACCATGCGGAACCCCAACAAAGACTCTCCACCTGGGAGCTCTGCAGAGAACTCAAAACGACGCAGACATTTCAGGAATCTAACTTTCGTGGACACTTTCCTTCCAGTATGGCCAAACCAGGCGCAAGGCTATCCACCAGACGCGCCGCCCCCGACGCCCCCGCTCTCCGCCCAGGAACCACGACCCCTACCACGCCGGGCACCTACCTCTTTCAAACTGTAGCTTTTTGTATCTTTGCATAATTTCGGCGGCAACCATGCACTCAATCTAAGAAGAGAAAGGACACAAACAAGACCTTTAGTGGCTGTGGGCTGGAACAGAGCCCGGTCAGCCTGCGCACGGCCCACGACCCCCGTGCAGCAGGGCACCCGGCCCACGTGCAAAACCCGTCTGCTCGGGTGCTCGTGCCTCGTCCTCCTGCAGGCGGCCCTGTTTAGGGCAGGCGGCATCAGGGCAGCTGATTGCGGTTTCTAGTCCTTCTTTGATCAAGAGCTCCACGTACTGTTTCAGGCACTGAAAAGAAAAAGAACAGAGAAGCGTCTTTCAACACCTTGACCTCCTTCAGGGCGAAGACCCACTGACGCGTAACCCGGCGCGCTGTCCCGACGCGGCTCCCTGTCTTCACCGTGCGGCCCACAGCGACCGCCAAATTAGAGGTTTTGATCACCGGACAAACATTTACAGGGTGCCCCCCCATTCCAGGCAGAACAAAGGCAGCAGGTGGGATCCACACACACAACCTTGGCCAACACCACATCGGCGCGTCTCACGGTTTGAGGAGAAACGGAGAGGAAGGTCGGGGCCAGACCTCAGGCACTGCACCCAGTTCTTCCTACTCCATTGTTTCCTGCACTCCTTAGATCATTCTTACAAGAAGGGGAGGATGGTTTCACCTTTCGGGTGTGAACACTGAGTCCCCACAGAAGGGGCCTGTTAGCGGACCCCGACAGCAAGGGCAGAGAGCCCTGCGTCAAGCCCGGCCTGGCTCGACTTGGAAATGCCCCAGCACCCCCCACCATGACCTGTACATGGATGCCGACCTGAACCCCCGAGCCCCACTTCCCCAGCAGTCACTGACTCCCACCGCACCCACTGAAGGACTGCTGAAAGTCTCAGCCAGACAGAAAAAGGGGGAGACACCGCAGAGTTCTATCGAGGAGGAGGAAGCCGTACACAGTGCCCATGTGCTCCCGCCCTGTCTACGAGCCTGGGAAACCCTCGCTCCCCGGAAGAGCACAGTTAGAAGAAAGACGCGGCCTCCCCGGGTAGGCTCGCCACTGAAAGCAGCAAGAGAGACTGAAAGGTTCACAGGAGAACTGGAAGAGCACCGACACGGGCCGCCACATGACGAGGAACCAGCGCCAACCATCTCAACAGCGTCCCCACGTCAACTTCAGTCGCAGCCCTAGTCCAATATTTGGGGTTCATGACGCCAACACCACTGTCACAGTAACACGATTAAGTTATCATGATCCGGAGCACCTGGGTGGCTCAGTTAAGTGTCTGCCTTTGGCTCGGGCCATGATCTTGGGGTCCTGGGCTCAAGCCCCATGTCGGGCTCCCTGCCCAGTGGGGAGCCTGCTTCTCCCTCTCCCTGTGCTGCTCCCCCTGTCTGCGCTCTCTCATGCTCTCTCTCAAATAAATAAATAAAATCTATTAAAAAAAAACAGTGTATGTATGTACAATAATTTGATCTAAATGGGTAAGTTTCACCCTTCTGGCACATCAGAAAGTTTCACCACCGGAGACACAAAGCAGCCGTGTTGGCAATCCTCAGAAAGAGCCGTTTCCCCCAGAATGCAAGGCTTCGTGCATCAGCAGCAAAACGGGTGCCCAGAGCCCAGCCCAAGGTCAGTTTGCACTCCTCAGCCCTGCCCGGGCTGCCCGTGAGTGCAGAGGCTTCATGAACTTCCATAATGCCCAGAGCTCTGACATCTCTCCAGGGCGATGGTTATGGAGAGCTCCCAGAGGCCCGGGTTTGTGGTCTTAGAGGTACGCCATCAAAACCCACACCAGGAGGAGGCCAGGCAGCAGAGGAGGGGGCTTTCCCACAGAGCTGCAGGCAGGCCTGGCCCCCACCCCCCACTCTGGCTGTGAGCGCCACAGCAGCTGTCTCAGGGAGACAGCCACGCTATGGAGTGGTGGCCTGCGACCCTTGTGACTATGCTGTGTTTCCAGTCGGGAGCGACCTGGAGTGTATCAGGGATGGCTAGGTGACTGTGAGGCGGGAGGAAGACCACAGGCTTTGGAGCTAGACAGACTTCATGGAACTGCTGTAGGCAGAGGCCACAGAAGGGCTCCCTAATGAGTTCAGGCCACAGCTCCCTCGACCATAAAACAGGGATGGCCAACTTGCTGGGCTTCTGCGATTGTAAGAAAGAACGTAAAAGCACCCAGCACAACTTCCATGACCATAGCGACTGTTGGTGCCTCTAGTGTGTCTGTCTGCATGGTAGGATTCCTAGAGTCAGACGCATAAAAATCTACAGGAACCTTAGCCACAAGATAATGATTTTACTTTTTCTCATCCGTTTGCCTATCTGGGATCTCTGGAGAATGGTCCAATGCCCTCAACTCTCCCGGAGCCGTCCACCACAGCACGCTCTGGGCTCCCCGAGAAGCACACCACCTAATGCCTGTGGGAAACTGCACGAGGGCATCTCAACGCCCCCGAACATCACTGCTCAGAACGGGCCTGCAGCCCAACAGTGAGCACGTCACATCCGGCTGGACCGCTGAGAGCCTCTGCGCAGAGCGACTGCGTTCTGGGAGTGCCCGTGTGTTTACTCTGTAAGAAGACGTGCGGATCCAAGCGCCTGGCAGGCCCTCCCTGGAACACCAGTCCAGTCTCCTTCCAGATGTGAAGCGGTCATGACTGCAAGCCCGGTTTTTCCATCTAATCGCAAGAAGAGGTCTCAAAAGGAGGGCGAAAGAATGGGCCAAGGAACTTCTCTCAGAATAGAGACACAGTGCAAAAGCGGCAGATGGGTTTCCTGCTGTGGCACTCTCAGGGATCCAATGGCCTCCCTGTGGCCTCAGGGCTCCCAGCTTGCAGAGGAGAAAACAAAGACTCAGGGAAGTGACGAATGGACCCAAGGACACACTCCACAAATGCTGGAGCTGGGGCTCACTTGTGCATGACTCCAAAAGGGGGGGGTGTTTTCTGTTTTTGTTTTTAATTTCTGTCTTCTTCCTCAATGAAGAACTCTTTCATGGGCAATCACTTAGTATGAACTTCCAGCTCCCTCTTACTTTTTTTTTTTTAGTAGGACATAGAATTATAGGTACTTTTTTTTTTTTTTTTTTTTTTTTTTTGAGTAGGTTCCACACCCAGCATGGGGCCCAATGCAGGGCTTGATCTCACGCCCTGAGATCAAGACTGGAGCTGAAATCGAGTCAGACCGTTAACTGACTGAGCCACTCAGGCACCCCTTTTGTATGTACTTTAAGCTGGAGAAGTCCGAGTCACCCTACAATGCATCTGTACATGTCCCCGATGCTCGGAGGCTATGACACCAAGCCCCCCCACCGCCACTGCAGGGAAAGACGCTCCTGCAGGTCGGGATGGTGCCGTGTTCCTAACACCCTAATGGGGAGTAGGGCCCCCCAGGGGGTGGTCAGGAAGGCTTCCCAGAGGGGACACACTGGCCAGAGGGACAAGGACATTCCAGGAAAGGGGGCATCTGCTGCACAAAGGGCAGAAGGAAGGAGCGGGAGCGTCAAGAGCCACAGAATGTTCCAGGCATTTCATTTTCCGTTTTGTCTTCCAACTCTTGGAACCCAGTTCCAAGAGGAGACAGCACTGCAGATTTGCTTCAGTTTCCTGCCAAGGAGAAGTGGGCCACAGAGACCCAGCGGCCTTGCCTGAGCTACAACAAGTCTCTACGCTGTTTTCTCACTGGAAGGTCTGCGGGCTGCTGCAGACCCAGAGAGCAGGAGAAAACTGCTCAGAAACTGTGCTTCAAGGAGCCGGAGTAGCTTACAATCCTCAGGGATCCACTCCTTATGAACAGGCAAGACAAGAGATTGCAGTGGGATCCCAGCGGTGGGACCCCAGTGGTGGGACCCCAGTGGTGGGACCCCAGCGGACACCATCTGAAGAACAGGGGCCTGGGAAGCACAGACCTGGGTCTGACTCCCAGCCTACTCAGCTCCCAGCTGTGCACGAGGGACCACACCTCCCGGGGCCCCATTCCACGCGCTGTGGGAGGAGAGAAGCCCACCACCACCACGCCTGTTCCAACCGCAAGGCCAACCCAAGGTGGCCACGGTCACACGCTCGGGCAGGCACTGTGCGCCTTCCGTAGGTGTCAGCACGGCAGCCCCTATGGCTATGGCTGCTCTGAATATTAGTGCACGGTGGGCCCTGCACGAAGGTCAGGACCCAGGGAATGCACACCCCTCTGCAGGCTTGTGATTACAGATGCCCAGTAAGGACGGGGAGCCCCAGACCTGGCGTGAAACACTCTCTTTGAAGAGCACCAAGTTGGAAGTCCACAGGTGTGAGTCTGTCGCCCGTTTGGGGTTTCTAGATTGGTTCAGCAGGCAGGACCTGCTCCTGAGAGAGGGCATGCTGGAACCGTACCAGAGGCGGCAACTCTTGGGGGGGCTTCCTTCAGCACAATCAAAGCAAAGAGAGAGACAAGCCTGCTATGGGCTACGTGAAGCCAGGGCTGGATGGGGGCGTGCTCGTTCAAGGAAGGCAGAGCACAGAGTGCCCATTCCCACGTCAGGCCCACACGAAGCACATTGACCCCAGGAGAAGGGCTGGCTTGACCACAGGTGTGCCCAACATTGCAGCTGGTACCGGAGAGGCAGGAGGGGGCTCGGGCCACATGCAGCAGCGGGGGGCTTCGCGTGGGAGGTGGTGGGGACTCCTCCCAGTATGGCTGGAGTGGATTTACCCCAGCAGAGACTGCATTCAAGAACTCAGCCTCAGCCGGGTGGGATAAACCTGAGTATGGCAAGGAGACCAGGTAAGCGGCTCAGGCCAACTGTCCCCATCAGGGCAGTGTGCCGCCCCGGCTTCGGGAAGTAACAGTGATGGCAGCTCATCGGGGGAACTGGACACATCCCACCACCTGGCCTGGAGCCAGCAGGGACTGGAAAAATCAACCATCAAAACGAGGCATCCCCCGCGGAGTCCTGCGGGGGTCCCTGGCCCCGCTGACTGAGCACAGGAGGACTGTTCCGAGAACCCGGCTGCGGCCAATAACGGGCAGGCTCTGATGAGGCGGGACGAGTGCGGGGCGCAGGGTGAGGCTGAGGGAGATCGGGAGGCGACGGTTAGGACAGTCTGAAGAGGACTCAGTCCCGCTCTGACAACCTGGGGGCTTTTCTGGGGACTCCGAGGCCTTGGCACCACTGCTCTACGTGGAATGGAGAGTCTGGAGTTGAAGCTGGTCTGCTCCTGCACAGAGACCAGGGAATCCTGGACTCCCTTCTCCTGGGGCAGGGGCTGTACTCGCGGCTGGGGCAGGGGTGGGAGGAGATCCCGGAGAGAGTGTGAACCCCTCCTCTGAAGGGGGCACAAGCCCCTCCCTGGGGCGGGGGAAACACAGCCTCCTCTGTGGGTTGCGGGGGGAGGAAGCAAGCACAGCCCCCCACCCCACCACACCTGTAAGCAGCAAATGCGGACAAGGCTTGCAATCAGCTGATGTGAAAAACCAAAGTCACAGAGCAGCAAAGATGAGTCTTGACGCAAACCTCACCTTCACTGCAAAGACCTCCCAGTGGAAGGCAAGTCAGAGGTATTGTGTTAGAGGCAGAAACACGGAGAAGCTGTCATGACACACACTCAACAAATACCGATTTGCTCTGCACCTAAAGTCTAGGAGCCAACACTATGGAAGGCAGAGAAGTCTCGGGGGGACTCGTGCTGATGGAAGAGTCAGTGCACTTCTGTGTGCGGCTCTGAGGGGTCTCTGTGTGTGTGCAGACAGAAGGGGACACAGATATGTGACTCTGAGGCCCAAGCGGGGGACAACATGAGTCCACACACAGCTGCTCAGAATCGGGACACCTGAGGGTTCCTTCCATAGAGGGAAGCTCCACTCACTTCCCCTCAGTGCCCTAGGCTGTTTCGACTGTGCACAAAGCTGAGGACTCTTCCAGCAAACGGAGAAACCCACGGTGTGCTTGCTCTTTACCTCGTGGATAAGAAGGGGCAGGGCACTGCTAAGGATCTCCATCGGGGGACCTTGCCCACGACGGGGCAGGGGTCCAGGGCCCTAACTGCAAGAGACTTGGATGGGTCTCCTGTGTGAGAACAGGGAGGGGGGCTTTGGGATGGAGGGTCAGGTGCACATAACAGGGAGAGAGAAAGACCCCGCGTGCCCTTCCTCGGTTGGAAGGTGCCAAGACCCAGGGGTGTATGGAGGATGGTCACTGCCCCTGACCTGGAGTGGCCCACAAACGACTCCAGGGCAGCCCCCAGGCCTGTGTGTAGCTTCCCAGCAGAACAGATGCCAGGAGTCAGAGTTTTCTTAGGGGCCGCTAGTAGACAAGCTTCGGATCAGGACACAAGTGCCAAGTGAGGGAGGCAACCAGAGAGCATTCTGGAGCGAGGCGTTTCATCTCTCTGAGCTGCTGCGTCTCTTCATGAGATGGGGGACTTCTGCCCACTTCACAGGATTTTATGACAAGTGAGATGAATGTGGTATGTCACCAGCAATTAACAAACGTTATTCCCCCTCCTTTTCTACCCACAAGGCAGAGTTTGAGGGAACCTAGAAGCCAGGGATAAAGACAAAAATCACTGTGGCGTGCCTGTGAGCAGTGTGGGCAGAGAATCCGAGGGTCTGGGTGATGGCTCGAGACCATGCAGATCAGGGAGCAGGTCTGCACAGGGACACAGAAAGGCCTTGCTGAGCTACGTGTCCATGTAGCTGCCATCTTGGCAGTGGGAAGCCCTAAGCCGCTGGTCCATTCTCAGCTCCGGACCGCAAGGTATACCTTTCCCCATCGTGAGACCCAAGACTAGGACGAGGCCCTCTACAGCACTGGGCCCCAGCCCAGAGAGCAGAAGCTGGGGAGCTGTGCCCCCCAGAGGCCTAGGGCGCTCAGAGCCCCCAGGAGCCAACGTGCAGGACAGATGACAGGACAGGTGCCCAAACTCTACACCGGCAGAGAGACCTGTTTTAACCACTTGACACAGTTACAATCTCCCCTGCAGACTTGCATCTGAATGGACCCTGAGCTGAAGGACAGACACTTTGAACACCACCCCCAGCATTCCCTCTTACCATGTGGTGAGCCCCAGTTGGCTTCCTCTTAACCTGAAGACACTAGGATTTCTTAGACACATCTCAGATTAGAGGGAGAGGGGGAGGGAGAGCAGTTGCAATCGTGAAAGTAAGAAAAGTAAGAGTAGCATCTTCCTCACGCAACACAAGCTGTTGAGAACTCAAGCACCGACCACTCCAGTGACAGACATTTTTTTGAGTGTCACTGTGTGCCAAGGTTTAGGGAACGATGAAACAAAACAAAATCCCGCTCCTCTAGGGGATATCGGTAAGGAGACGTCACGACAACACAGTGGGACAGAAGGAACCAGATACAGTAAGAGGAGCTGGAAGTGTCCAGTAGTTCGGAGCAGTTGCGTGTAGGAACTGAGGACGGGGGAGGGAATAAGGAACAGGAGCTTTGAGTCTGGATAAAGGCAGGGACCCAATTACATGGTGGCATTTCCACCCCAAAGGGCCCAAACTACAGAGGGTCATCTGAGCTAGCTATTGGAGAAAGTGCGAATGGATAGAGCCACCGTGGACACACAAGCAGAAGTGGGACTGTCATGGTATAGGGGGCTGAATTGGGAGGGTTTTGATAGGAAAGGTTTCCACTGGGTTCTAAAGTGGCCCCTCTGAGCCAGCCTTGGGTGGTCAACTTCCCTGCCAGGCCAGAGCCACACAGGGAGCAGTAAGCTTAGGGGCTGGACTGTGGGTACATTTTCCAGTGAAAATATATGGCACCGTCCACCTCAGGAGCCACGGCGTGGCCATCATGGAAAGAGCAGTTGACTATAAACCTTAAGTCTCAGCTTCCCCCACCGTTAACTACTGGGAGACCCAACATACAGAGGAGGCCTCAGAGGCCGTCGAGGTCAGAAACAGCACCTGCATTTCAAGGCAGAGATGCCTGACCTCCCCATCCCGGTTTCCCCTTGGGCCCCTCCCTCCTTGAGGTCAAAATCCTTCAGAACCTAACAATAATCCTCCAGTGATTAGTTTATTAGAGGGCTTCCTTCTTTCCAGACAATTTTCTCTCTTTTCTCTTTCCCACCTTCTCCTGTCTGTCCCCCAGGAAAGGGGCAGTTACGACTCCTCTGGCCGCGGCCCGTGGTGGTGGGCCAGGGTGACCTGAGGCCCCCACACAGGGAAGAAATGGGGCGCAGGCACCTCCCCCACTCTCAGTCTGTCAACACACAGGTGCTTCCTCTGTTCTTGCTGCAGAAACAAGTGCGACTGTTTTTTCGACATTTTCATGTTTAATACCCGGTTGTGAGAAAAAAAAAAAAAATCTCCAGTGTCCTGCTATCTCTTAGAACTGCAGACGCCCCTCTTTGTGGGGACAGTGCTATCTATCTCCCCCCCCCTTCAAAGTCGGCCCCCTTACATTAAGCACTTGATGTGAATTAGAGTTGCTTACTGGTTTTTACTACAATTTTCTAGGAACAGAAAACCAAAACAACAACAATGAAAGGAGGAAAGGTGGGGGAGGGGAAGAGCAGGTGACTGAGACCAGCAAGCTCGCCCAAGGGCACAGGACAGATAGGACTGACTCCACCCCTGGAGACCAAAGAAGACTTTCCCTCAGGCAAGAGGGAGGCAACCTACATAAAGGAAATCTTTACTCTGTCCAGACTGCTTCCCCCCAGCTCTTCCTCTAGAAATGAAACCGAGTCCCATACCCGCTGCTCATTGACTGGAGGTCCCCATCTTTGCCTCTCCCGCTCCCCTCTCCCTCCCATCCTTTCCCATCTCAGGAAAATGTCAAAAGCAATTTCCTGCCCTCCAAGCTGAAGTGACTTTCCTGAGGCTTTAAGGAGCTGCATTTCTCGCAGATCAACACTGAGGCAGACTCCCTGTGGTGTGGTCTAGTGAACTTTTAGTGACGAGCAATGGTGAGTCCTGGGTGGACAAGGTGTTTAAGGGGTACGGAATCCTGTCCCCCAGAAAGGCAGCGTCAGAAGATGGAGACGTGACGGTCTGCAAAGCTCCATCTCCCTATCTCTGAAAGAGACATGCCATCAAACGTGCCCACGTCCCAGAGACATCAGGAGACACGAAGTCAGGTCTATGCAACAAGGGCAGGGAGGGAGAACACGGCTCCTGCAAAAGGGTAGGGAAGGCTGTCTGGTGACAGATTTTAACCTAGACATTTGAAAAATACACCGGCAGGCCACCCAGATGGTCCATTTATAACACGGTTAAATTCAGAAGCAACTTTTTGGGGTTTTTTATAGTTGGAAGAAAACATTCTTTTTTTTTTTTTCTTTTTTCTTTTCTGGACTTTCTTCTTTTTTATTCCTTGAATGGGAGGAGAAATCAAGTAGAATTCAAGAAGATGAACTGAAAATAAACCCCAAATCCTCATTTTCCCTTTCTGAGGGGTGACAGGCTGGGTATGAGTGAGGCCTGAGGGAGAGGGGTCCCTGGGTCCCTGTGGTCATTAAGAGCAGATCATTGGGCCCCAAATAATGCTGGCTAAGGCACACGGAAATTTAAATGCGATTTCAGCATCCTCTGTAGCTTGACACAGAGCAAGCTGACATGAATAGCCAGGTGTCCTCTGTGCGCACTCACTAGCTTAGCACCTTGAGTTATAATCTCAAGGATGCAATCATTAAATTAAACTTAAAATGAGGTATGGTAAAGCTCTTTCTTTCTGGAAAGGAAAGCACACGTCATGATCAGCTTTCCTCAGTTGCATTTCCAGCTTCTACAACTCTGTTTAACCACTAACTTTTGCATCGCGAGCTCCTGGGATGGAAATCTACTGGGGTGCCTGACGGGTTCCAAGGCAAAGTCTTCCAGGAACTGCATGAGAGACTCTGTCCCTGGCAAAGGTGGGGTCCAAGGTCACGAAAAACGAACACAAAAGCTTCCTCCTGGAAGTGTTTTTAACCACAGTTTTCTCCCCAAAGGGACCAACCAGAGTGCAGAAGATGCACTGGCACTGGGCGATGGTCGTCATCTGCTCCACTGGATACTCCCCGAGACACAGCTTGCACGACACCAGCGGGTCGAGGGCCAGGTCCCACGTGGGCCGGTACCGCGCCGTGGTCATGGCAGAGCAGTCTGAAATGAGAGAAGTGCGGGCCGTCAGACCCCCTTGTGTGAACTCACTGGCAGAACCGAGGCAGGGATCCCTTCCGGCTGCAGCGAGATCCCCGGGAAGGGGCCCACGGTTCTAGACAACGCATCTGGGCCCTCTGGGTTGTAAGCAGGGGTTCCTGACTTGGGTCTGTGGGGGAACCCCTTTCCCACACAGCTGGTATGATCCTGTCGACCCTCAAAATGGCAAATGACCCATCCCATCCCTCCATCCCTCCATCCGTCCCTCCTTCCTCTGGGCATTGAGTAAGTCCTCTCCCACCGACCAAGCACCTGGCCCAGGAGACCAAGACCTTCGCAAGCGTGGAGAGGAAGCTTCTGCTGAAACAGTCTGGTACAATGAAGCTGCTCTCCAGGCTCTGTGTTGAACCATCCCGGGGGAGCAGTGGGTGAAGCCCCCTCCTCACGCTCAGGGCCCTCCGAGCGGAAGGCACCTTTCCTCACGGGCTTCCAGCCACGCTGCCAGGTGTCATCTCACCCTCGAGAGTCAGCTCGACACCGCCGCCTCCTTACACACACGCAGGTTTCCTAACATGTGAGCTTGAGGCGGGCAAGGGCCTTAGAGCAGACTTGCTCACGTGCGTGGGCCAGGTACACCTCACAGTGCCTGGTGTCTAGCAGACTCTCCCTACACATGAATAAAAGCCCCCTTCCCTTCCCCATCCTCCCCAAACCCTCCCTAACCTGCCCACAGCCTGCCTCCTGACAGCATGGATGTTTCTGTTCATATTTATCACACTGATTTCCACCACTTGCTGCTTGGGGAAGGCAGGGCAGGTGTGGTTGCTGGTTGGTAGCTTTGCACCCGATCCACAGTGGCCTCTCTGCACCTGCTGGTTGAGTGAACGGACACATCCTTGCCTCTAGGCAGGCGCATTCTCACCCTGAACTCCTGGAGCCTGACTGAAGCCAGTGAGGGCCAGTGTGCACCTGCAATCAGTAAGCATGTTCCTTGCGCCTCAAACTCAGAACGGAGTCAGGTTTGCTAAAATCTCAGACACGGTCCAGGGCCATATGAATGCTGAGAGGGACCCCCAGCTCTGAGGGTCCAAACAGACTTAGACAATGGGTGCCCTTCTCTGTCCCACTTTTGAACTGGGGGACAAAGAGCAAAAGATAGCAAGAGACACCTGCCTTCCCTGCTAGTTGGCAAGGCCATGGCATCGGGATTTGTCTTGTCCAGTTTTCCACTTACAGCAAAGGCAGGTGTACATTACAACAAAGATATAACACAGGAAGAAAAAATACAAATCAAAACGCCAACCAACGACCGGAAGGGACACAAAATGATTCTAGCATCTTAGAAAGATTCAGAGACGTAGGAGACACAATTTCCCGCCTTCGGGTCTTCAGATTCAATTCGGGAACTCTCTCTGCCACATAAAAAGCTAACTGATAATATAAGGCAGGATGTGGTCGATGTGAGAAATCAGCGCTCCAGGTATGTGGTAAAGATGCAAGGAAGTCTGGGTAGAATCGTTAAAATAGCTTCATGAGGAGGATGAAGTTTGAGTTTGGAAGGGAGGTGCCATTTCACACAGGTCAAAGAGAGCAGCTATCAAAACGGAAGAGAAGATACGCTAACATCTTTCCCTGGACAGAGACTGGCAGCCCCACAGTAAGAAGAAAAGGAGCTCTCTGCTCTGAGACAAAGAGGACACCCAGAACCAGTACGGGCAGCTCTGTGCCCATCACTGGCCTTGGTGCACTCGTGTGTGTGATGGGGCTGATGAGCCCGTCCCCTGGGGATGCTGTGAGGACCTGGCATATACAGGAAGTGCTCAGGAAAGACCAGGGAAGACCCCTACTCCCCCTCCCGAGAGGTCTCATTCAGCCATCCTTTTATGGATCTGTGAGAAAGACTCGGAGGTATCAGACATTTCCATCATCTGTACAAGTTATCTTTAGGGATAAGGAGCTGTCATGAGAACTTCTGAAAATGTATTTATATCCCTTTCTCAGGTTCTGTCAGTTGTAGCTCACTAGGTATCACTAAGCCAGTGTTCGGGCAGGACTCAGCTCTGTGGACTCTATGCTGGGCGTCCAGATGGGGGAGAAGCTATGGCACAATCTTGAATGCAGTCTGAGGAGATAAGACACAGTGACAAAGAACACAGGGACATCAGTGGTGTGAACTAACAGATAAACAGGGGAGAGCCTGACCTTCAAGAGCTAAGCAGATGAGGGCAGCTACTAAAGGCTGGCAGGAATCCGTGTGGGGAGAAAGGACAGAGATCAGCATTCAGGGCAGGAAAGGGACAGTGCCCATGAGGATCCGGACTCCTCCCAAGACTGCTAACAACCAGGAACACCTTAATCTAATCTAACAACTTCTTGTTGTTAGAAAAGAACTCTTTGACACAAATTCAAATAACTTTTGGATTGGTTGGTGCCTTCAACGTAATTTAAGCAAGTTGTCCTTTGACCAGCCGCCCATGGGGCCAGTACTCACAATCTGAGGTCACTCAGCTATCTGGGGGTGCAGAGGGAAACAGATGTGCACTCCCCTAAGTTCATTTTAATTTGGAACATTCCTCCATACCTTGAATCTATCCATACTAGTATTATTATTATTAATTATTATTATAACACTTTATTATTACTTTAGATGTCCACAAGCATTTTCTAGATCCTGGGCTCACGAGTCAAGGTTTTTGTTTTGTTTTGTTTTGTTTTTCCTTCATATTCCTCTGTATCTTTTTTTGTTTGACTCCCTAAGGATTTTGTTTTTAAAGTAACATTGCTTAAACTCACTCTCCAGAGTGAGGATTAGGTTTTGACTATGAATGTTAGCTGGCCGTATAAGGGATCAAAACCTATATAAGAGGCATGGCAGGCCTGGGCCAAAGGCTGCTGACTGGCTTGTCCCTCCCAGAGAGCACAGGGTAGGTGGCTGTGAGCTATGGCCCAGGCTCAGATTCCGGAGGGCACTGTAGCAGCAGTCTCAGGGGAAAGAGCTCCCCCCTTTGGAAGGGAGCAGACCTGGGTTCAAACACTTATTCTGCCACTTGGTCACTAACTTTGGAGAAACTTCACAACTTCTAGGAAATTTAGTGTTTTGACTTCTTAAAACTAAACACCAAAACCTCCCTTGCTTGTTGTGAAGAGTGAAAAGAAATATATTTAAGATTCCTGGGTCTTTTTACCTGTCTGGTAGGTGGAAGTCACTATTGTATGTCAGGTTCAAGACCCTGGACATGAACCCATGTGGGCTAATGGGAGAGACAAGCTGCTGAGCAGAGAAACTGTAGGATAAATTCAGTCTTTCAGGAAGTCCCCTGTGCTGGTGGAAATCTTTGGAAGAAACAAACCAAAATGAAAATGTCCTGCCTTTTTTTTTCCCTGAAAGATTTATTTATTTTAGAAAGAGAGAGAAAGAGAGAGAGAGAGTGAGAGCACACACACCTGAGGGGCAGAGGGAGAAGGAGAGAGATCTCAAGCAGACTCCATGCTGAGCGCAGAGCCTGAGGCAGGGTTCAATCTCACGATCTGAGATCAGCACCTGAGCCGAAACCAAGAGTCAGTCGCCTAACCAACTGAGCCCCCCAGGCACCCCTGAAGCCTCCTGCTTTATGGTCTGCTGTCAGTGCGGTCCAAATTCGGACCACACTCCAGGATGCGGCAGAACAGCAGACATCTAGGGACAAGCCTTCCTACAGTCCTCACAGCCCCGACCGCACATCCTGGGCAGACTGTGCATCACGGGAGCACTCGCCTGCCCCAGAAACCACCTCTGCCTCTACACTAGACCACCTGTCCTCTCCTGGCTGTTCGCTCCCAGACGTTCCTTGCTCTCCCCAGCCTCTGGGTTTGGCTCTGTTTCCTGTTTACAGCATCTCTGAAGACATGACCCTTTGCACAACTGCGGCCTTGACCCCTCACTTCCTTTCTTCCTGAACCACAATTTCCACTTGACCTCGAGACAGTGCGGCTGCCTGCTGCCCTGGGCACATGTCAACCATGGCCCCTCACTTCCCTCTCTGAGAACTACTCTCGAAGCAGGTCAAATTCCGACTTCCTGGCACCGTGTCAGTATTCTTTCCCCTCGAGATTAGAGACTCTCTGAGTGCCCCAAATCAGGATTTAAATGTAGATAACAATGGAACATATTTTCGAAAAAAAGAAAAAAAAGAAAAGATACTGTTTAAGCCCTTCATGGGCCACCCCTGCATACAGGATGGGCCGAATATGATTTTACAAACACTGAACAGCTGCAAAGCTGAAATAGGAATTTGCTAAGAAAATCACAATGCACAATAAAAGAAAAAAACAGTCTTTGTTTTCCTAATGGGAAGGTCAAGTCACATGAAGCCAACTATTTTAAGAACATCTGGTCAATTATGAGTATTACTCAATGTAAGGAATTCAAACTGTTTCTGAGGGAAGCGACTTGTTACTCGCTGCTGGGTCGTGCAGAGCTGCACGTGGTGTAAGACGCGTGGTCTGAGGAGGACGGAGGCTGGAAGGGAAGGCAGGCTGCATGTTAACCCCAGCCCACCCCGGGCATGGGCCGGAGCCATCCCACCCTTGCGCTCTGGTCTGTGCTCGTCTGTGGGTCCCTATCCTCCCAACTTCACCCCTGCAAAGATGGCCAAGGAAGGCAGGGTGTCTGTTGGCCACTCACTGACCACCTGTCCCTCCCCTAAGGACGCTAACAAACTCGCCTAAGCTGGCTGAGTCTCACCCATTTCCTCCCATCCACACGCCTTCCCTGCCCCATCACATGTCTGCATCCTCTGAGCCCTCCATGCATACCATCAGCCCCTGGTGTTATGAGGTCTCCCTCAGTTCTCTCAACCCTCTCAGCTGTCCCCCCTTTCCTGGAGTCTCTGCTGCCTGCGGTCAATTGATTCTGAACACCTGCTCCCCAAAACATCAGCCCTGGCACTGCCAGAGAACTTGGTAGTATGCGACTCCTTGGGCCCTGACCCAGACCTACAAAATCACAAACTCGTGGGGGCAGGGGTG